CATGACCTGACATAATCTGTCAAACCTACCTGATGTGACATTCCCACCGTGATTAGTTTTCTTAATAAGAAAGGGAACGCAGAACTGTATTCAGCAGGAGCCCATTGAGGAAGACAGTCATGACAGGGTCGAGACATCTAGCATTTATATATTAGCAGGGGTGAGGACATTAGCCTGGTTTAGTTGATACTCACCTTGGAGAACAGAGACCTAAAATGATATGGAGTTAGAGTGGAAAAAGGTAGAATATGAAGCTGGCAAAAGTGAAAAGAGCACCACAGTGCATGTACCCCTACAGAGCAGAGGTCAAGATGCACAATCTAGGTTCCTAATAAAAGGGGAAGCAAAATGTCTATAGATGTTTCCCAACCGGCAGCTTTGTCTGGTAGTAGCATCTGCAAACATGGTGTGCTTCAGCTAGTGCCATAAATAGATAATTTTCAAATTTTAACTTCAGTTGAGTTAAATAACTATTTTAACCAAGCATTTCAGCATTTGGTTGCCAGTCAATTAATTTTAGCCCATGGCTGATTACACTCAGATACAATAATGACAATAATGGCAACTTCTCTAAAGTAATTTCTTACTTTGTGTGAAAGAGAAGTAAGAGGACTTGTTTTAAATCACATAAAAACAAAAAAATGTGTTACTTGGTAAAATTTACATGGGAGCTGGTTGTTGTATATTTCCTGCTTTCCATGTCCATGGAAGGATATCACGTATCCCATGGATAAAGAACTAATTTTAATGATTGGCTGTTTGACCTCTTTATTCTGTACTTAGGACATCCAGTATCTGAATAAGGCATTTAAAACCTTTAATTACAATTTTTAAAAAAGAGAGAATGAAGACACATTGATCTGCATATCAACTCTACTAAATAATATGGAATAATTGCATTAATACTTTTTTACACTGGCATTGGTACCTTTTATTCTGCATGGAAAGTAATTATTGAAATGCACAAGATATTCTTTTTTCTCTGTGTGAAAAATACGGTTATTCCAATGTATTATTAGATGTAATACTAATTTGGGCTGAGTAGATTAAAGTTGAAGCCATACACTCTATTCAAAATTTGTGTATCACTGTCTTGGTTTACTTTTTAATCTATACCCTAGATTCTATTTCAGTTAATAAAAAGGGCAAATATTTTCTTTAGAAGATTGGAACAACCCCGAATCTAGCTAAGGAGATGATTGGCCTTGGTATTATTGGATATGCAGGGATTCTGACCTACATTTTTGTTGGATCTTCTGTGGCATCTGAGGAATGTGGGCCCAGAACAATAAAAGAGCTAGTGAAGAAATTTTTTTAAATGAACAAGTTAATCTTAAGTATGCATCATTTCTTTAATTGCAGTTCTCAGAGAGATTAAATGGGGAATCTTTATGAATTCAGAACTTCCAAATTTTTAGAAATTAAAAAAATATATAGGCTTTTATGTTCAGAGAACAGAAATTGCAATCCGCACCTGCATAATTTAGAAAAATTACAAAAGTCAGAACTAGGTGATGTGGATAGAATTATATCCCCCAAAGTTTATATGTTGGAAGACCTAACCCCAAGTATGACTTTATTTGAAATTAAACTTTTGTTGAAGTAATTAGTGAATAAATAAGGTCATTAAGGTAGGGCCCTGGTGCATAGAATTAGGGTCTTCATAAGAATAAACACCAGAGGAGGGCTCCCTGGAAGCACACTCTTTAAAGTGTCAGCACTATCAAGTGCCAGTCACTGTAACATCAGCTCAATCCCCAGCTAGGAAGCTGACCCACATGGCAAAGCAGACCTCTCCTGTATGCCACTGTTCCCCTCAGCAGTGTATTTCAGTAGAGCCACCTGTTCTGCTCTCCACTCTGTCTCTGGTGAATCCTCTCACCCTCGATGCCTCTTGTCTGCACACTAGTTTTTGTATGCATAAATAAATAAAATAAATCTTTTTTAAAAAAGAATAAATTCCAGAGAACTCCTCCTCTCTCTGCCACACAAAGACACAAAGAAGGTGGCTGTCTGCAAGCCAGGAAAAGAAACTTCTCCAGAAACCACCATTGTCATAATTATCTGGGACTTCTATCCTCCAGAACTATGAGCCCACACTGAGATTTATTTTTTACTAAGGGAACATTGGTTAACAACACCACATAATTCAGAAGTATGGGATCACACATTTTCAGATGTCCGTTACCATCCCACACCCACCACCAAGGCACCCCTAGTCCTCAATCATAGTTGTTTGGGTTCCTACGACACTCTACACTTTCCTTCCTCCTACTTCCCCTCTGGCAGCTTCAATTTTACAATCAGATTTCTAGAGTTATGGCTTTGTTCTATCTGACCTCATGTTAATATAAAACATGGAATGCATAAATATAAGACTAAGAAACAAACAGATGATTTTAGAAGTTCATCTAAAAGATTGCCAAAGGCGTAACTTGTTATTTCAATGAAATTAAAAAAAAAAACAGCATTCTTTGGAGAATGGAATAAATCCTTTTGAATGAGTAATATGACTCACTGAGTGAAATATCCTATTTAGCTGTTCAAATCTCCTACAAAATTGACAATGCAACAACATTTCCATAACTTTGCCACATAGGAAGGTTTTTTCTATAAAGTGAACTTGCTGGTTTTATTTTAATATGTAATTGATGCATATTGTCTATAACACTTGCTTTTATAAATGATTCTGAGCCAAAAAACTGACAAATTCTATAGAAATGCATGATTGGCAAGCACCAGCAGCAGGCAATGCCATTTTGATTTTGTGTTAACTTTTCAGAGTTATTGCAAGTCTTTTAGATTTGATTATGATTACTTGAAATAAACAGACTCTTCTATTACATTTGGTATGTAATCATGAGGTTTGAATATCTGTCATTTCAATAAGCATTACCTCAAAGAACTTAAAGACATAATAAATAGTGATCTATTTCTGTATCCTCACTTTGATTTTAAAGCATATAGCAAAACATTAGGTTGATGTGTGTGGTTAATTCATTCACACATTAAGCATTTTACTGAAGAGTTTAGTGGCATAGTAGAAAAAATAAAGACCTGGATTTGAAACCTAGCTTTAGCTATTCCTTTGACTTCCAGTGGTTCTGGAGTGCAAACTGTACTGAAGGAGACAATAAAGTTGAAACCAGACCAAATGTTGGGAGCAAGTATTAAAGAAAAAGAAAAGTAAAACAGAGTTTTGCCAGGAATGGGTTTACCATTCTTTAGGAAAGTACCAAGCAATCCAAATGCAGGGCTTAAGTGTAAGCCAATAAAAAATTAAGGTTAAATCAAAGCAGAAGTTGGATGATATCACTGCAGGAAACTGACTTTGAGGGCCCTCCTTGGTGTCACAGCGGGGTAAATCACAGCACTAAGAAGTTAAAGCCACTTCAGCATGAGCTCAATCCCCGCCCTGGAGGTGACCCGCATGGTGCATCAGACCTCTCCTGACATGCCCACTGCTCCTCTCAGCAGTGTCCTTTGTCAGTCCACCTGTTCTGCTCCCCACTCTGTCTCTGGTGAATCCTCTCACCACCCCTAAACTCTGGCCTGTACCCCAGCTCTGTATGCATAAATAAATCAATCCTTAAAATAAAAAAAAATTACTTACCTTGAATGAAAGAGATAAGAGGGAAAATAGAGGACAAAGAAAAAATATTGTATACACTGGTAGTATATCATCCATCATTTGAAAAGTTTAAGAAAAATTACAGCTAGGTGGAGCCCTTATGGAATATATGTATAATAATAGATTTCTCCTATATAATGGAAAGATAAATAAGCAAAAACTAGGTTTGAGTCTACACTAAGAATAAATAAAGTTCTATGTGAGGATATCAAGGAGCTTCCTATGAATAAGCTCCACATGCTTTCCATAGTTTTTTTGTGTATTTCACCTCAAAATTCTCTAGGCATACTTACTAGTTTACATTTAGTTGATGAGTAACAGCACCAAAATTTGCTTTATGATATGGAGAGACATTACAGTGTTAGGATTTAAATAGCACTGTTTAAATTATTATTATTGTATTTGTATTTTTAAAGATTTATTTATCTATTATTTATATTTTAGATCATAATTTAGATTATTCTTATTTATTTATATTTTAAAAAGATTTATTTATTTATGCATATAAGAACTGTAGTATAGGCCAGAGGTGTGAAAGGGGTGTGAAGGGGGTGAGAAAGTTCACCAGACACAGAATGGGGAGCAGAACAGGCAGATCTACTGAAATACACTGCTGAGAGGAGCAGCAGGCTGGTCAGGAGAGGTCTGCCTTGCCTGGCTGGGGATGGAACTCTGCAGTGGCTGTAGAGAGCTTCACAGTGCTGCAATTTAACTCCTGCACCACCAGGGAGGGGCCCTATTTTTATTTTTAGATCATCATTCTTTAATGATTTTACAAGCTATATTTGTCAAATCATATTGAGGAAAATGACTCTATTTCACTATAATAATTTCTATGACAGTGTAATAGTGTAAGACAGCTCCAAAATAAAGTTTTTGCTTCACCAAGTGATCTTAGGCAGATAATATAAACTCCCTATTGGGACAATGTCTAGTACATAGTAAGTGTTCATAGTAAGTGAATACATAATAATTATTAATTAAGCCATTTAATTATTTGTATTATATAAAATATTGGAATATAATTTTATGAATCCAGTAGCAAACATTAATAAAAGAAAATCAGTAATAAACAAAGTTCACTAGGTACATAGGCCTAAACTGAAGATATTTTAAATAAAGAAATAAAAAAAGACAATGAATTGCCTAAAATCCCTAGAGGCATAGCCTTCTTTAATAATACAAGTATGAAGTTAATACCCTTCTACACTGCACACAGAATTGTAGTAATACTCAAATACACCATCGCTTAGAGATAACCCTTAACCTGCCTTGGAAATTGGCTGCAGGACTACATCTGTATTTGTATCACAGAATTACGAAATCATTACTGTTTATCTTACAGATTACATCAAACATAATTTCCAAAATGGAAGAAGCCAAAAGCCAAAGTCTGGAGGAAGACTTTGAACGACAGGCTACACATACTGGTAAGGAAAACTTAAGAGAAAAAATATTAAATTAAAATTAACCTGGAAATCTCTAATGTTCTTATTGCCAATATTTATCTTGAAATTTAAGTGACGCCTTTAAATGGTAGGGTAATCTAAAAAATATTTGAGCACTTAAATTAATGTGAAATAGGATACCTTAAAGCACTTTTATTTAGTTGTAAAGGTTGAGAAAAACGTAACTTGGGAATTCCTTGCTGCCCAATTATCATAAAGCCTCTCCATCTACTCTATAATTAACCATTGTCTTCTTTCCTAACTTCCCTCATTTTGAAATTTCCCTTCAATTATAAAGTGATAGGCCAAAAAGACAGATAAATTGAATTTCTAATTTTAATTTTCTGAATTAAAAAAAATTGAGAGACTGATGAACCGTTCTTACATTGATTTCAATACCCCTCCAGGAAACCTAAGATTTCAATTCATTTCATGTGGAGCCTGTTTTTTTAAAATATTAAATTTGGTGGGCTGTCTAGATGCCACTCTATAAGAGTTTTAAAAGTCAAATAACATATCTCAAAGGTAAAGTGTCAGATTTGTTTTAACTTTTGACTCTTATTTGACTTTTTTCCTCTCTCTTTTGATAATTTAATTGGTGCCTTTCAATTTAGTCAGAAGTTTGAATGAATTCAGATGAATACTATATAAAAGCATTGAAATTAATGTTATAATGGTGAAGTGATGGCTACCTTTCTAATTCTGACACAAAACCAAGAAACCATAGTGCAACATTGATAAATTCAGCTATAGAAATGAGGACAAAAATGAAGAAAGAAAGAGAGAGAGAAAAAAAGAGAGAGGAAGGGAGGAAAGAAAAAGGGAAAGAAAAAGAGGGAACATCAGCTATCTCAAAAAGTGACCAGGAGTCAAATTCAAAACACATTGAACAAAGGGTAAACATTTTCAACTCAATTGACAGACAAAAAAAAAATAATAATAATTTCCTAAGTATTAAAAGCTCCTACAAATTTGTGAGAAAAAAAAATCAAATGGAGTATAAAGTATACTTTATATTAAAATTACATTATAATTATATTATAAAGTATATTTTATATTAAAATTACATATTGTATGTTTTATATAAAAGAAAGTAAGGGGACAAAGAACACATCCACATATATAATATACTATTTAAGATCTGGCTTTAGTGGCTATGCTTCACTGAAAGTTATTTAAACCTTTTTATCTTCAGGGATTTTTGTTGGTCCAAGCACTGTTATTATTTATCAGGCATTTGCACATCAGAATTTCAGCTGGAACATCCTTGACTTAATGTTTTCTTAAATCTTCAAATTCCATCCCATTTTTATTTGTAAAAAAAATCTAAGAATATTAGAATAATTGAATGGTTATGTAACAGTTCTCTTAAATCCATTTTAGTTTTGTTATTTGATATCGGACTCTTCCTCACTGGCTAACCTTTTCATCTGCTCTTGTTACTTCTGGATCTTGATAACATTTCAATATGTTTTCTGAACAATCCTAGTTTCCCTTACTAGTAGTGTGGTATTAATTTTATTTTATTGCTGAAGCTTTTTTCTTAGTTAGTAAAAAGTCCTATTTTTCTAAACTTCTAGTTTTTTAATCTAATTTTATATTAGCCTTAGTCACAACTTGTGCCAGGTACGAAACTTGTATTTTCCTTAATGCAGGTATTTCCAAAGGACTTTCTATCTTTCAGTTTTTAAAAATAACATTTATTTTTTAAAAGTTACCATGTTTATTTTTTAAAAGTTACCAGTTGGCTTTACTAGTTGGCCAAAAAAGCATAATGAGTAAAGAATAAAGTGACCCCTAACTATAAGAATTGATTTTTATGTAGTTAAGATTGTATAATGTATTGTGCTTATTCACACACTGTGAATATTTACTATTTCAGAGTTCAATCTATATCAGTATTATGATAACCAAGTATATATTACACCAACTCAATCTGGAAGAAAATAAAAGAAACCCTTTGTGGTGACAGAAAGTTAATGAAAGCAACAGGCTTTTAGATAAAGATATTGGCAGAATTATGATTAAATACTTCAGTCCCATATTTTTTCAAAAGATTCTTAACCAAATTCACTTAATGGAGTTAATGTGGAAGAACATTTTTATGTGCAAGGCAACCAAATATTTGCAGGCAAAGTAAGATATTTATTTTCAACGCAGTATATGACAAGGCTATTTCCTTGATGATAGTTACCCAAACTACAATTGTATATATAATCCTAATGAAAATATAAAGGAAACAAGTTGGTTTTGATTTTATTCCAGGACCCAAAGGAGTAATACATGATTGGAGAAAGTTTAAATTAGAGAGTGAAGATAGTGATTCAATTCCACCTAGCAAGAAAGAAATTCTGAGACAGATGTCTTCTCAGGGAAGAGATGATAAAGATTCAAAAGAAAGAGTCTGCAGGAAGGTAAGATAAGAAGAAATCACTAATAATTCATTTATAATGTGTTTTTAGCCTAAATAATTCTAAATAGAGGGTCCTCCCTGGTGGCACAAGGTTTAAAGCACAGCACTATCAAGCAGCAAAAGTTCACCAATCACTGCAGCACAAGTTCAATCCTCAGCCATGGAAGTAACCCACATGGCTCAGCAGACCTCTTTCTGTCTCATCTGCTGTTCCCCTCAGCAATGTATTTCAGTTGACCTTCCTGTTCTGCTCCACACTTTGTCTCTGGTGAATCCTCTCAATTCCTGGCACTTCTGGCCTATATCCCAGCTCTTGCATGCATTGCATGCATAAATAAATAAATGAATAAATCTTAAAAAATTATGTGGGATATATAAATACCTATTGATTGTTATATGTGGATTCACATTCATACAGCAGAAAATAATTGATGCCAGACTTAGCCGTTTTAAAAATTTGGGACTGTGGTGATGGTGCATGGGTGAATTGGTGGTGGAAATTCTATAGGGACTACACCTTAGAAGAGAAAGCAAACATTGTTTAAAAATGAACAGTGATGTAAAATATATAAAAATAAATTTGAAAAACTCTTCAAGTCTGAGATCCTGTTTTCAGGTTCTGGTTTCTTCACTGATACAGATTAAAGAACTAAATTATCCATCTGAGAAGCTGTGATAGCACCTCTTTCACTCATATTAAAGGGCTGTAAAGAGAAATAATGTAAATTGTCTGGATACATATAAAATATTATACAAATGTGTGACAACTGTTAAAGATTAAAGCTTAACTAGTTAAGCTCTAGAAGTGTTTAAGAATGCTTAAATAGTTATATGCCTAAATATGTGAATGGAGCAATTTTTCATACATGGATGGAGCTAGAAGAGATTATGCTCAGTGAAATAAGTCAGAAAGAAAAAGAAAATATCGAATGATTTCACTTATAGAGAATTCAAGAGAACTAAATTAATATATGGGGTATGGGATGTGTATTGTTATTACATTGCAAAACAACACGACAAAACAAAAACAGACAATTATAAACCAGAGATTTCCTACAGGATAGAAAGACAAGAAAGGGATCAGAAGGAGGGAGGCATGTGGAGAACTACGGTGATGACAGGTGGGGGAGGGGGGAAAAACATTGTTTTAAAATGAACAATAATGTAAATAGATAAATGAATAAAATATAAAAAAAAGACCTGAAAGTGTGTCAATCAGTATTTGTGTGGTTCAGTCTATTAACGTGAAAGAAGTGTGCTGCAAGGTAAATGAAGACTGCACAGGCTTCTGAGCCCGTGTCCTCGGTGGCTGTCACCTCAAGCCTTGGACGCAGGAGGTGCTTGGGAGCATGGGCTTGGGTTATAATTACCTGATGGTGGATGCCTGGTGAATGGCCATGTGTCAATGGGCACACCTTAGCTGAGAGACCGAACACAGAAGGGCCGCATCACAGGGGACAGAGGGCGGCACAGGACCTGGCTGCGCAGTGCAGGAGACAGTGGTGAATGGCAGCTATGAGAGGAAATGGCAGAGCAGCAGAACGTATAGTGATTCACAGGGGACCACAGTTGCTGTCTCCTTGCTGGCTTGATTCCCCTGCGTACTATTAAAAAACCTGTGCTAGTGATGCTAAAGTTTCCAAGGTTCTTTTTTAAATTGCCTGAACCATGGTTGAAACTAGCTGGCCTGGTATGGTTGCAGAACATATAGGAACAACTTAAAGTAATACAAAATTTAATTTTGAGGATCAAAACAAATTAAATTGGAACAATAATTTTTGATCCAAACCATGAAGACATTAGGAAAATAAATATAAGGGGCAGAAATAAGATAAGGAGGTAATGAAAACATCAGATACTTCTACTTAACCTGAGTCTCAGTATCTTCTGTAAAATGAGAGTAATAATACCTACATAATCGGTATTGTCGTATTAAATAAAGTTTTTATGTAAAGTACCTAAGATATTGTAGTTTCCCTGTATGTGCTAGTATGTCTTTTCAGTTCTCTTCTCCTGTATAAGTGGTCAGTTTCTGTTTGAGAGGTACTGGCTGATAAAGTGATACCACTGGTCCTTCCAGCCTGTCAGCTTCCACAGCTCTGTGCTGCTTCACACTCTTTGACTACACAATGTCCCATATTTGTTCTGTAGGTCTTTTGTGTGTGTGTGTGTGGTGGAAGGGTTGGAAAAGTTGGGGTGTGAAGAAAGGGGTGCTTAAGTCAATTGAGTAAGCCCATAATGAAGTGGACAACTATTAGAGAAGGTTTTGTAGGTATGTTAATATTCTAGCTGCAGTGAAGAGAAGCGTTTTTGGAAGGTAGAAGTTAGGTCTTCTCTCACTTTAGCCTAAATCATTGGCTAAAAATCACCTAGAGGGTTTGTTCAACTGGTTCCCTCAGTTTCATCCTTACAGGTTCTGATTCCATAGATCTAGGGTGATGCCCAGAATTTGTACTTTGTAGAACTTCTCAGGTAGTGTTACTGCTACTGCTGGTCCAGCTTTAACTCCTTGGTTAATCTGAGAGACTCCAAATAGTAGTAAAAATTGTCTTGACTGAAATTCTATCAGTAAGTGATAAGATCCTTTAATAGTTTTTTGTAGAGGAGACAATGTCTAAGGCATTTGTTGTTTTGCATTTAAATGCACAGTGTTGTGTGTGTGTGTGTTTTATGAAAGTCACTCTAAAGTAACTCTTGTTGGGTTATTTTCACCCAAAATGATGAGTAGTTAAGTGACTCATTGCTAACTGAGATCATGGCCATCTTTGGCTGTTTCTACTGTATTCATCAATAATCATTCATGCAATTCATCATGAAATAATTTCTGAGCCTCTATTATATACTAAACACAATAGCAGATATTGAAGAATGATGAATAAAACTCTTGTACCTATGGGAAGCATCAGCAATAAAAAACTAATATTAAGCATATACACATATAATACAATATTGGTAGTGTTTATTTCTATTAAGAAAATATGGGCCTGTAGTATAAATGGATGTGATCAGGGTTTTCCCACCCTCCCACTATTACCATCAATGATTGACACCTGTGGTTTTACATGCACATCTGATGGCGGCACCTGGAGTGTGGTGTGGGCATTTGTAAGTGGGTACACCTGAGCCAGATACTGAGCCAGCAGCAAAGGATGCGTGGAGGTGAGGACTGTTGAGGCAGAGTGTAGTAGAGACCAGCAGAGAGACCAGAAGAGAATCCCAGAGAACCCAGAAAGAGTAAATACTCCCCAGGGACTGAGTTGCCTCCCAGCCTTCTGGCCTCCAGACCACCCTGCCTGAAAGGAAAAAGGACGGACACCGTGAGTCTGTTCACCAGGAAAGTCCCTGTCTTTATTTTCAGCATCAAGCTTATATACTGTAACAAAGGGGGCCTGCGCCCATTGGCCAGGCCCCGGCTAGGCGGGTGGGAAGTATCAAAATTATTTACAAAAGAACCTATAAGCTGGGGTTTTGGGGACTGTGCCTATGTAAGGGGATGGAGACAGGCAGACCCTAGTCAAGGTCAGGGGCGCTTCCTTATCAGCCTGAGGCCCAGAATTGCTAACTAAGCTAAACTGCTAAGCCAAACTGCTTTCCTTCACTGCTTCTGGTTTCCACGCTATAAATGGTATAAAGAGAGATCATTAAAAGCCTGAAAAAGTCACTGAGGTTTCCAGGACTGTCCTTTTCCTCTCTATCCAGATCTGTAAAGAACCTTCTCTGTGCCTTGCTGGAACTACAAACTGGTATAAGGAATAGAAAACATAGGACTCAGGTTATGTCATCAAAGGTGATGATAGCTGAACAAAGACAAGTGAGATAAAGGAGAAGGCATATCAGGAGTTGAGGGTATGGGGCTTCTGGGCACAAAAAAGAACAAATAGAAATTCCTTGGGCTATCAATTTCTGGTGGACTGATCTTTTTAATTTCTTTCATATATTTCCAGATGAGTATTCGAGAATATGAGCTAATCCACCAAGACAAAGAAGATGAAAATTGCCTTCGTAAATACCGTAGGCAGTGTATGCAGAACATGCACCAGAAGCTGAGTTTTGGGCCGAGATATGGGTTTGTGTATGAGCTGGAAACTGGAGATCAATTCCTGGAAACCATTGAGAAGGAGCAGAAGGTTACCACCATTGTGGTTCACATTTATGAAGATGGTATCAAAGGTTGTGATGCTCTAAACAGTAGCTTAACATACCTTGCGGTCGAACACCCTATGGTCAAGTTTTGTAAAATAAAAGCATCTAACACAGGTGCTGGTGACCGCTTTTCCTCAGATGTGCTACCTGCACTGCTCATATACAAAGGTGGAGAACTCATAAGCAATTTTACTAGTGTTGCTGAACAGTTTGCTGAAGAATTTTTTGCTGGGGATGTGGAATCTTTCCTAAATGAATATGGACTACTACCTGAAAGAGAGATGCTTGCTCTAGGGCAGACTGCCAAGGGAGAAGATATTGAATAAAGATTCACTGTCAGTATCTCATATTTCTCCTTTATATATTGACCTTTGATTCTGGTAGTATCTATATTCCTTTAGAGAATGCCAACTATGGTCAAGAATAATGTACTCTAGGGAAAAATAAATCTGATCCCGAAATTATATGACTAGTCTTTCTTAATATTAGTCATTCAAACAGATATAATGCTTACTACAAACGCTTTAGCACCATGTTTTTTCCTGTGTTATTATTTGTAATTCCCCCATATAATTTTCAAATTACATTAGTAATTATAATTTTGCTTATGTAATAAGAAAGTCTCATGAGAAAATAAATTTTCTATTTAAAGTCTATTCTTTCTCAGTTACTATACTCTCAAGGACATAAAAATATACACCCCTTCCAAAGTTCAGTAAGACATTATATTCCAACAAAAACTATTACACAAAAAAAACTTATACACTGTGGCACAATAAAGTTGAAAAAAATGATCTGCTAAAAATATAATTTCAGAAGCTAACCTTTTCTAAGAAAAAAGTGGAAGTGAGGCATTTTTATTCTCTAGAACAAGAATATTTAGCAGTAGTAACAGCTATGGTTGTTATTGGTTGATTGCCTATTATGGGCTGGTATTTGGTACATATCACTTCTAGTTCTTCACATATTCTGCAAGTAGGTAGTATTACTCCCCTTTTATAAATGATGAAATTGGAATGCAGAAAAGTGAACTAGAGAGTATGCTACTATTTCCCATGAAAATACTCAGCAAACTCTTGTGTGAATATGGAAATGCAAAATAAAATACAAATAAAAATGAGTGGAAGCATAAGACAAAATAAATTTTTATATATGTGAATCAAATGGAAAATAATGAGCCAAAGTAGAATTCATATGGCTTCTCTCTGAAGACATGGTGCCTGATTAAGTCACTAAAACAGGCTCTTGTGAGATGTGTGCTCATAGCACCTTTTCAAGTTTCCCTCTATTGAGTCAATGCTGAAACCATCTGTCACAAATTCTAGTCTCCATCTCAAATGACTAGTTTATAGCTCCTCTTCTTGTCTTAAACCCCTTCCCCCCAACCCCAAATCTAAACACTTCACTTTACCATACTTCATTGAGACATAAATGCTCTCAGTGTCCTCAGATAAGACCAACCACAACTGTTTGCCACCAATCTAAACTGTGTAGCTATATGTAAACACTAAACAGCCTTGTGATGGACATGTGCATGGAGCTAGCTAAGGCCCTCTGATTAGACTGGTCTGTGGATCCTTCTCGCCTATATAGCCATTTTTCTCCTATAATAACTCCTCCCTCTTTGAATCATTTATTTCTCCATTTCCCTATGTTGCATTATTCACAATGATTTATAAATGAGTTTTTGAACTATCCACTACTTATAATAGTCCACCTGTCATTTGAAATTTCCAGCCAGCCCTATTTTTTTTTTTGAGATTTATTTATGAATACAAGAGCTAGAGTATAGGCTAGAGGTGTGGGGAATTGAAAGGATTCACCAGACAGAGTGGGTAGCAGCACAATCAGGTTGACTGAAGTATACTACTGAGGGGAGCAGCGGACAGGACAGGAGAGGGCTGCTGAGAGGTTTGCTGTGCCATGTGGGTCAGCTCCCAGGCTGAGGAGTGAACTTGTGCTGCAGTGGCTGAAGATAGCTTCATAATGCTAAGACTTAACTTTTTGCACCACCATAAATTTTTACAAACACATCTCTTGAAAGAAGTATCTCAAATCATCAACTTCAGTCCTCATCCAATTTTTGTTCATCCAATTCCAATCGTAACTTTATGGAAAGCACTCTTGAGTACAGTTGTAGCCAGACTGCAAAATGCATTGGCCAGTTCTCATTCCTGTGTGATGCTGTCCTGATAAGCATGTGTCAGATTTGACTACCTCTTGTTGAATCACTTTTGGCTTCTTTGAAAATGTATTCTGGAGACCATTCCTGGTGGTGCAACAGTTTAAAGCACAGCACAGTGAAGCTCCCTGTGGTCACTGCACCATGAGTTCAATCAATCCCACACCAGAGAGGTGACCCACATGGCACAACAAACCTCTCCTGTCTCACCTGATGCTACCTTCAGCAATGTTCTTCAGTCAATCTGCCTGTTCTGCTCCCCATTCTGTCTCTGGCAAAACCTCTCACTTCATGCACCTCTGGTTCTTGTATGCATAAATAAATAAAATAAAGAAAATATATTCTGTTTATCTTTGTTAAGGAAGGAAGGATAGTCAAATGTATATCTCGAAACAGACTATCTTCAGATTAAAATATAAATTCTTTTCAAAAGCCATATCATTAATTCGTATAGTGCTGCTTTGTAAGGCAGAGGTACAAAGCTAACCAGTGAAAGAAGACTCATCTATGGAGAATGATTGTTTTGAAAGATCCCTTTCAATGAAAGCTTTGCTCTAACAAGAAATAATATACTGTGCATTAATTTAAAAATAGAGAGTTAGCAAGTTTAAGCAGGACTAGACCCAGAAATGTATTTAACCCGTAACTGTCAAAACAAAAGTAACTAGGTGGCATCTGTATAAAAGAGTAAGTGATGATAGCAACCATCCTCAAAATAAGCACTTGGTGACTAATGGATGCCAGAGTGAGGCTTTAATCAGAACATTCAACAGAAGAGTTAGACAAAAGGCAGGATTTGACTAGAATATTTGAAACCTGCTGCTAAAGAAATCCTGGATTTCAAACTCTCTCATGTAAACACTTAATCCATATTTTATTTGGCAGGAGGAGAGAAAGAGATTGGTTTGCTCTCAGTGAAAGAATGAAGTTTTAACTTTAAATGTTTAAAATGTCATAACACAACTAACAAAAACCACCCATATAGTAACTGGAATAGACTTGAACAGAGCCATGAGTGTTAGTTGTAAAACAATAGGAAAAATGGTAGGGAGTAAAAGAATTATTGTGTAAAGTGAGAAGCTTTGATGGATCATGCAGTGTTCTTGACCTCAAGGATCTCAAGGTTAAAAAATCAGAAATGTAAACAAGACATGGGAAATGTTATTTATGTCTCCTTTTGCTTTGACTTCTATCACCATGTTGAGTATGAATATTCTAGCAACTACCTATAATCTGGACTCTGTTCCTTTACCACCTCATCTCTTGATCTCCAATAAACTTCTACTTCACTTGAACCACTCACTTCATTTGCTATCATGCATTGTCACTTTTCCAAATCACCTTCCAAGCCTCCTTATTTATCATCAGAACCATGTCTCCCTCCTTATTTACTTGTTGACTCTACTAAATTCTGGGTGTCGGATTTCTTCTAGAATACCACTGCACCAATGGGAATGTGCTACATGATACGATCATTTTGTCAAAGCAAAATGTTCTCTCTCTCCCCATCCTCTTTTTACTTTATTTACTTTTCTATCAGCTTAGGTTGCATGATTCATCTATCATTTAAAATATTCTTGCCAGTATCTTAATTTTCCTGGTCCTTATTGCTATTGACTGTTAGACAAGGACATAAGTTGCTATTTCTATTCTTAAATCTGTGAAGACAAAGGATGATGCAGGAAGGGCAGGAAATCATAATTTCATTCCTTTTTAAAAAATATTTCATTTACTTATTTTTTTGTATACAAGAGGAATGGAGGTTGGGGATGGGTGAGAGGTGTGGGGGTGGATGAGGGGTGGTAGTGAGAGGATTCACCAGAGACAGAGTGAGGAGCAGAACAGGAAGACTGAAATACACTGCTGAGGGAAGCATTGGGTGAGACAGAAGAGGTCTGCTGTGTCATATGTGGGTGGTGATAGCAATAAGACTTAACCATTAGACCACCAGGAAGGCCCAATTTCATTCATTTTGTATTACTGACATCAAGTGAGTCTTTAACTGTCAATCCCTCTATATCCGTTTGGTCATCTTGGGTCCCCTACTTTGTAACAATTCTTTCAAATCTTCTTTATTCCCTTTTTCTTCACACTCAGTAGATGAACATCACAACTTCATGGAAATCTGTGGACATCAAATGAGATCATCTTCAACTTTCTACTACCAAAACTACAAGCTCAAAAACACTTACACCAACCCTCTTCTTTCTGAGTTGTTATATTAGATGTTCTTTGTCTTAAGGTCAATAGTTGCCTGTACTTCAACCACCCTCCCACCTTCTCAGAATTCTTACTTAATGTTGTCTTACTTCTGGATGATCATGCCTTGAGCTTCTACATGCTCAAACACTCACTCCCATTCTTTACTTAATCTTTCTCCTATATATGTAAGCCTAAGGGCTTACCAAGTCACTTTTCTGAACCTCAGTTCTAAAATAGAGGAAAAAGCATGATAAAAGTAAAAAATACTTTGCAAATTCTAAGGTACTATATAATGAGAGTTAGTTTAATTTTATAATTTGTTTTAACCTAAAGATCAAAAGAACTGAGTTCCCAAGGTTTTGTTATTATTTAATTGGAAGATGAGGGAGTACAACTCAACTCTCCATAATCATTACCATTATTTCATTTATGAATAAAAACTGGAAAATATTTTTAACAGTGCTAACCTGAAAAACTTATTTTGTAGAAATTTTTTGTATGGATAGTGTTTATATGGATATTGCAACCTTGCAGCTTACTGACATCCAGAATTTTAATGGGGACAGACATCTGGTATATCTACAACTAAATTGGATTTGACAAAAATAGAATCTAAAAGCTGATTAAGCGGCCTTAGTTCCTACCAGGTAAAATCCCATTCACAGTACTATAAACAAAAGACCTTCCCAACAAACTAAATTAACTTGAGTGAAATCTCCCTTCCTACTAGGAGGTTTTTTTTTTTTTAAAGATTTATTTATTTGTGCATACAAAACTGGGGTACAGGCCATAGGTGCACGGGCGGTGAGAAGATTCACCAGAGACAGAGTGGGGAGCAGAACGGGCCGACTGACAAAGTACACTGCTGAGGGGAGCAGTGGGTAGGGCAGGAGAGGTCTGCTATGCCATGTGGATCACCTCTGAGATGGGGATTGAACTCAT